GCCCCGCGCCCGCCCGCGCCTGCCAGCTGCCCTCCGAGTGGAGGCCCCTGAGCGAGGGCTGCCGCGCCGAGCTGGCCGAGACCATCGTGTACGCCCGGGTGCTGGCGCTGCACCCGGAGGCGCCCGGCCTCTACAACTACCTGCCCTGGCAGTACGAGGCCGGCCAGGGCGGCCTCCTCTACTCGGCCGAGGTCGAGATGCTGTGCGACCAGGCGTGGGGCAGCATGCTGGAGGTGCCCGCCGGCTCCAGGCTCAACCTCACCGGCCTGGGCTACTTCTCGTGCCACTCCCACACCGTGGTCCAGGACTACTCCTATTTCTTCTTCCTCAGGTGAGCCCGGCGCCTCCGCCGCCTCCTGGCGCGACTCCCTCCAGGTCGCCTGGAGTCGGGGCAGGAGCTCCCCAGGGCATCCCGTCCGTGCCAAATGGGAACATGCCTTAGGCTCCTTCCTCCCCTTACTCTTTATTCTCCCCTGCTCCGTCCCACGACTCTGGAAAGACCCCAGGGTCTATCCCTGGCTACCCCTGGCTTAAAGCTGTTTAACAAACAGGGATGATTTCTGTGCCGTGTACACAGAGGAGTGTTTCAGGCAAAAGCTCAAAATGCTTTCCAACAATCTGTTTGACTTTAAAAAAAGAAACTGGCTTCAGTGCGAGCAGCTTGGGATAGTGAGAAAAATCATCTCTGATCAGTCTGTCGTTGGAATTCTGGCTCTGCCCTTCCTAAGTGTGATTTCAGCAGGTTACTTAGCTTTCCAGTATCCTCACCTGCATCAAGTGAGAAGCAAGGCTGGTTGAGAGTGCAACACAGTAACTCATGCAAAGCACCTGGTGCAGAGTGGACGCTTAAACACCCACTCCTCTCTCCACCCACGTAAATGCCAAGATGGAATGGTATGGAACGCATCGCGGCTGTCCTCCTTTCACTCTCCTATCAGCTGCCAGGTTGTTCAAAATAGCAGAGGTTTATGGGGGGACTTGCTGGGGGTAAGACCCTGGGTCACACTGTTTTGAAGAGTGTAGTGGCAAATCAGGAGGTGATTTATAGTGGCAGGAGGTCCTCTGATTTTTGACCACTGGAGTCTTGTTAAGTTCCATGATAGTTGGTCCGTGGTCAAGATGGATTTCATCTGCATAAGTGTTCAGTCAATTATTATTGACTACTGAATTCTACTGAAATTTGAAATCGAGGACATCAGGTGGCCTGAATTCATTGGTCGTCTCCCACTGGATTAGGGGAGTCATGCAGACAACTGAGAAAGAGCAAAATGGAATCTAAGCTATGTATGAAGATAGCGAGTGAATTAACCCAAAGTTATCATGATGGGTAATAGTTCCAGTCTTCCCAGTCCGTGAAATAGCACTGAGGACATTTGCAATGACTCTCACTGGGTCTGCAGATTCACTTTTAGCTCACTTCACTCGGAGAAAGAAAACAGTGAGTCCCACAGAGGGGCATTCGTAAGCTCATGGCAACACATGTTTTCCACATTGAAGCCAGAATTTCTAAGTTTAGAATACATGTTCTGCTTTGTGTTGGCTTGAGTGGCCTAGCTAGACGAAGTTAAATTAGCATTTTTGTTTTGTTTTTTATTGCCAGAGAAGTGTAGTTTCTAAATAAAGTCAGCAAGGACTGAGAGTGCACTTCTTGATACAGAGAAACTTAACTCGGATTCATCATGTTTTTATTTAGGAAAAATACTGAGAACCAGCTATAAAACTATTCCATAACAAAACTTTGTTTTCTAAAGAGAAAAGAGCCCAAGTACTTGAGCAGACATTATTATTGTTGTTTTTTATTTTTATCATGAGTACAGTTTTGTCCAGTGATTCTGTGGTAGTCAGCCAGCTGTTTCATCTTTTGCTCTAACATAGTTACAAAAAGTTAGGGCAGAAATACGAAGTCAAACAGTAGTCTGGCAGATTTTCTTTTCACAGGGCTGTCTTGCCCTGAAGTGTATTAACTATTGCATATAAATCACTCCTCCTTTGTTATTCTGGGAGCCACTGAGACAAGAACAGACTCTGGTCAGTGTCACTGAGGGAAAGTGGCAGTGGAGACACGCTGGCGAGCCTTGCGTGCCCTCTTCGGGCTGGAGTGTAACTTCCATTTCTCCTTTTCGTGACTCCTTTATCTTTCACAAGTGATTTACACTAGGCTCTATAAAAATGCTCGCTAATATTTATACTGCACTCACATGTGCCAAGTGCTTTACTTATGAACATTTTGTAATTCAATCCTTATGACACCACCAAGAAAGTAGGTACTACCATAATCCTTTTTACAAATTACAATACTGAGGTTTAGAGAAGTTAAGAAATTTGTTTCATGTCGTACATAAGTGGCAGCAGTAGGACTGGAACTCAGGTCATTAAAACTGCCTACCTTTCACCAGGCGACAAGGAGCAGACTGTCTATGAGAAGGAAGACCCCGTGGGGGACTTGGAAGATACACTAATAGACAAACAGGCTTGTGTACACACACTTTCCTCAAACTTATCTTTTTGAAGACCTTAAGGATAGACTCAGGTAGTGTGAGGCAGAGAAACAATGTTAAGGAGTGACCGTAGGAACTCCTCTGTGAGAGACATGCGAGACGTTGTGAAGTTGGTGAGACCAGCACAGTTGCTGGAAGCTGGTACACCCATGGCTGTCCAGTCTACATCTCTGCTTTTTTTTTTCCTTCCCCATTAGGATGGATGAAAATTATAACCTCTTGCCTCATGGAGTCAATTTCCAAGATGCCATATTTCCAGACACTCAAGAGAACAGAAGGATGTTTTCCAGCCTTTTCCAGTTTTCGAACTGTTCCCAAGGGCAGCAGCTGGTGACTTTCTCCAGTGACTGGGAGATCCAGGAAGACAATAGGGTAAGAATTGGCTGGACCCTGTGCCATAGAAAAATGATAGAAGACTACACCTTGTACGAATTTTGTGGCCAAAGGAGTCAGGAATACTCTTCCAAAAGCCCAGACCAAAGAGTATTATACTCCCTGTCCCGCCAGTTGTTAGAAAGCACTGCTCATAAACTTTGGATTCCTGAGGCTTTACCATTGGATAAGGGGTTCTTTGCAAAGTATGGGAATAGGATGGGATGAAGGTTGGCATGCTGTGCCTCAGTTTCCTCATCTAAAAAATGGGAGCAATAGTAGCATCTATCTCACAGGGCTGATGCAATGTGACTTAAATATATAAAAAATGTAAATGTATGAATCCTTAGCATAGTGCTTGAAAGAGTTATCATTCAGTACATGGAAGCCATTGTGACTATTGTTATTGTTATTGTTATGGACAGCCCAGGGCTCTAAGGAGTTGTCTTAGAGGAAAGAAAAAGTCCTCAAGGAAATGAAATAAAATAACTATCATAGCTAACACTTTCTGGGATTCTTAAGGACAGTTGTTAAGACCTATAGGATAGCCAAGGTGGTTGTAGGATGTAAGGGTCAAGATCGTTTGGGGTATGACAATATAAAAGGATCTTCCAATCTAGGCCAAGTGGTAGAGTTGTGGGGAATTCTGAGGATTGTCACTTTTCCAAAGCAATGGCATTGCCACAACTGAGCTGGGGTGGTAGTGGGTGGGGCCATGTCAGTCCAAGCCTGTAAGGCGGTGACCCCTCACTCCCAGTCTCCCATTGAGATATTTTTAGGGCAGTGTCAGACTGCTGGAGAGAGTTCTGATGTGGGAATCACATGGAATAAGGACCTTTTTATGGGATAATGAACCAATTTGCACGTTAGACAGCTCCCTTCTTCCCTCCCACGTGTGAAGGGTTTGAGGGAAGTGCCTTTCTCTTGTCTGGTGGGTTGGCCTGGGGTAGCTGCCTTATTCTCCCAAACCTCCTTATTTTCTGCCTAGGGCTCCCTGGGCCCTGGAGGCCTTCTTCTTGTTCTTGCATAGAAGCTGTTTGTGCTATGGGCAGATATGCCCAGCTAAGGGAAATTATTTATTCTTCTTTCACAGTCTCAAGAGGTTCCCTAGCTCCACCCTATTGACAGCGATCTAGGCTCTTCTAACCTCTCCTCCATGGTTCACCAGAATTTTCTGAATGCGTGTCCTATATTTTGCTCCCAACATGGTTCTAAGCACCTGTTTTTCTCCCTTTTTAGTCTTTATTTTTGCTCATGCCATATTGAATTGGACCCACCAAGTCTAAGCCTGTGTATCCCACACCTGAGTCACACCTGGTATATTCCAAATGGACTCTTTTTAGGCTTGGCCCTTTGGTTCTACTTTTTTTTTTTTTTTTGGTGGGAGCTTTGCTTATAGGACTAGACCCTTGATAACAACTGATTTATGTCAAGAGATCAGATATTATTCCAAAAATACTTGAGTAGCTTAGCCTCAAAACTCTTTAGCTACAGAACTTGTTAGCCCTATGGTCACATAATGAAGCTATTAACATTTCCGTGGAATTAGATTTTCCATCATTTGAAAAAATAGAAAAATAGGACCGTGGAGAATTGTTCAGTGTGAAGGCAGATCTATTTCTGTTGATCAGATGTTGATCTTGGGGAGAATTCCTTTTCCCTCTCCCTTTAATCATCCTAGCCTCTTAGATAACACAGTGTGGGAGTGCTGCATGCTTGGAGGAAGAGTCAAGAGTTGAGGGGAGGAAAAGGCTTGTTCCAGATTGCTGAGCTGCTGCGTAGCCGAATTTAGGAGATCCATCTGAGGACCCTGCACTTCTCCAGACTTTGCTCCTACCATCTTTATTTCATGCCCACTTTGAAAGAGACCACATCAGAGTTAAATGAAATGAGCTCATTACTTTAAAATTTAATTTGAAACTAAAATTACATTTACTTTTAAGAATTCTGTGATGCTCCTTGAGATACTTTTATGTACCCTGGAGTGATTAAAGCAGTTGTGAATTGGCAATCTCAGAGTTAGATGAAGAATTATTGAAAATTACTTGCTCCCTTCTTCAAAACAAAGCTAAAACTTGTATGTCTATTTCTGTGGGAAGGTAAGCATCAAATTATCTGTCCTACGCAGGATAAATATATCATGTTATCACATGATGTCTAAAGCAGTCTATATTTTTCCTTAACCTTAGGAGGGATCAGAAGAGTTGTTCAGGTCATTTTTTTAGTCCAGTAGGAATAGGTGTTAGGAGATTTTTGTCAATCAGAACACACTAGTACTTTGCATGTTCTGAAAGCAGTTATGCATGGCCCCAGACTTTGCACAAATGCCTCTCTTGTAGTATGTGCTGTGTCTTAGGTTACAATTCTGCAGGCACGTTAGTGCTCTCTTGTGCTTTCCAGTGTTGACGCTGTTGCTTGCTAAGCTTTCATTCACCTTGGACAGTGGCTCCAGACTCTAGTTATGGAGGGCACAGTACATTCTCTTTGCTGATAGTTCTCACTTTCTCTCTCTGGGAGAATCGCATGAATCTGGGACTCTAGAGTCGATCTGGAGGTTGAGATGGAACAGGAGGAAAATCTTATGTAGGGAAACCTTTGTGATGCACATCAGGATGACATTCAGCTCGGTCCTCAGGAGCAAAATCCTCCCATTCTCTGGTTCCTCTCCAGTGCTTCTCCATCTTCAGATATCTCACCCACACCTTAGTAAAAAAGAAACATGATCTTGCTTTCAAAAGCTGCTAAGAAGTCAGCAGTGTTCCTAAGTGTTCAGCCCCCTCTGGTTCAGTATCATGGTATTAATGAGACTTAGGCGAATGTCCTTTGTCATGTTGGGGCATTCACCAGATTTACTGGCAGGATTATCTCCACCTCAGCCAAGGACATTTTTACTTCCCCTTTTCTCTTCTGCTGGGTGAGTGTAACAGTCAAAACAAAAGTTGGACATTTTTCCCTCTCTGCCAGTACTGTCCCCTAGGACCAAGACCCGGACTGACCTGTACTGATCAGTCTGTCATAAAACGTCATGGGATTGAAGTAAAATCTGTGAAGGTCTTGCGGCCGGCACTTTCTTTTTTCCTTATTTGGAGCTGGGAAGGATGGTGGGGGAATTGTCCTTCTCTAAGCTGCCTAAGAAGGAATATAAACATGTTTTCAATTGGAAAATCTAGATTGGCTCTGCCATTTCCAGAAAAACAAACTTGGGCAGGTACCTTAATTTCTCACATCAGTTTTCTTATCTATAAAATGGGGCTAATTATATATAAACTGTCTAAGATTTTGGAAGGACCTAATTAGGGCATACATTTGAAAGCATTTTGTAAACTGTAAAGAGTGATGGAGGGTTTATTACTGAAAATTGATCATTTTAAAGTATTACTTTAAAAACTACATATTTTTTAATTGATCCAGCAATGGCCGGTGCGCTCACTGGCTGAGCGCGATGCGGCCTGTCACCAAAAAGACAAAATAGAATAAAATAAAATAAAAATAAAATTTTAATTGATCCAGCAATTTTCAAATTTTCATTTGAGGAATTTGTCCTAAGGACGTAATCAATTTTCCAAAAAAATATATTTTATTGTGGTATTATCGTAGTGTAAAATTAGGGGAAAATTCTATATGCCTGTCAGTAGGAAATACTGTGGAATAATACATTAAAAATTGTTTTTAACATGGAAAGATTTCTATAATTTGTTTCCTTAAATGAATATATTTACATGTGCATGTGCAATGAACACATTAAAAACATTTTGGATATATTAGTGGTAAAATGTTAACATTGTTTCTACCTGAGTGGTAGAATTGCAGGTGATTTTTTTTTTTTTTTTTGTGACCATGGTAAAAGAATTTCATAATCAGAAAAAAATTTTTTCAATTTAGAATGGGAAAAGCCCTTCTATAGTCTGAGAAAGCAAGTAAAATTGCTAATTAAATGTCTTAAGTCTTAGCATCTCAGTTTTAGTTTAACAGTAGAATATATTTATATGGTTCGTTTTCCCATGTATGATTCCTTTTAGGACTGTGCGTAGTAAGTTTTACATCTGTTTACATGTGGCTGTTGAGCACTTGAAATATGGCTACTGCAACTGAGGAACTAAGTTTCTTATTATATTTAATGTTAATTACTTTAAGTTTAAAAAGTCACATGTGGCTGATGGCCACCACATTGGGCAATGCAGCAGTAGAACTCATTCTGCCCTCATCACTTCTGTGTAAGCTTACAGTGTCAGTTCTCTACTCCCTCAGCAGTTACACAGATTTTCGTCTTAAGAAAATCACAAACACCACAATTCTCTTAACCCCACTCTTCTTCTTCCGGATCAAACTCATCTCCCCTTACCTTTCTGAGGTACCATATTTCTCTCCATGTACTTCTCGCTTGCCTCTTCTGAACAACAAAACTTCTAAGAGTTGTCTTCTCTCGTATTTCTCATTTACTCCTGAACTTTTTTCTGTCACCATCATCATAATAAAACTATAATCATGTGCTGCATAACGATGTTTCTCAGCCAGTGACGGACCACAGGTACAACAGTGGTCGCACAAGATTATAATGGCTATACCGTATAGCCTAGGTGTGTAGTAGGTTGTACCATCTAGGTTTGTGTGAAGTGCACTCTATGACGTTCGCACCACAACGAAATCACCTAATGATGAATTTCTCAGCATGTATCCTCGTCTTTAAGCACCACATGACTGTACAAACAGATAACGCACTCACATCCCAAATCTAAAAGTATAAAATGGTAGCCAGTAGCATTTCGTTTCCACCTCTGACACCCATTTACCCAACTCCCACCCACCCTCCAAACTACTAGCTACTGTTAGTTTCTTATGGGAACAATTAGTGAGTGTTTTTATCCAGCAATAATCCAAACGTGTATTATTTGTCATCTTCTTTGACACAAATGGAAACACTATGCACACTTTGCCATACCTTGCTTTGTTCACAAGGACATCTGGAAGATCTTTCTGTATCATTGCATATGAAGTTTTAA